ATTTATGACTACACAGGTGGGGTTTAATTAAACTACAGAAATCAGCAGAGAGCTGATGAAATAGTAATGATATACTCTAAGGCAGTGTGCCTCAAGTTTTAATGTGCATACATATCATACCCAGCAATCTTGTTAAAGTACAGAGTATGATCCAGTAGGTCTGGGTGGGGCCTGATTCCTGCATTCTTCACAAGCTCTCGGATCATGATGATGCCACTGCTATGGTCATGGGTCCTTGTAGTAGGAAGAATCAAAGGGATCCCACTGGCCAGAGTTGAGCAGGGCCCTCACCAAACAGTCTCTTATTTAGGTACCAGGATCTGGCCCTTTACTCTGAAAGAGCAGAGACTTCTTTCTGTCAGTGCCCTGAGCGGCACTGACTGGTACCCATTAAAAGACACAGGAAGGCCAGCACATTCATTTTATAGAGTGAAATATAACTGTACACATACTAGAATATTGGTATTTCTCACTGTAGGCACTGCCAGCCCCTCAAGCTTAATCCCCCTTTGATAATATACAAAGATGTCGTTTCTAAGGCTGCAAAACTGAGGATGAGGACCTGGATAGTGGCAATGTCATCCAGTTGATGCCGTTCTACCCTAGCCGGTTTGGCTCAGTGTATCGAGAGTCTGCCAGCAGATTGAAGGGTCCTGGATTTGATTCTGGTCAAGAACATGTACCCTGGTCATGTTGCGGGAGTGTCGCTTTCACTTCCCCCTTACTTCCACTCTCTCTAAAGATCAATGGAAAAATGTCCTCGGGTAAAGATTAACAACAACAAAAAAAAGATAGGGTCACTCTGGAAGGCATATCTGACTGGCCAGCTAATATCACTATGCAACATCTTGATCAGCTATTCACTTACAACAAGCAGGAAAGCCAACTCTATAGAAATAAACAACTGATGAAAATTACATTGGAAGTAAAAATATAAAAATGAATACCTAAGAATTTAGGTTTTTCTTATCTGTTTTGCTTTTAGGGGTAGTCGAGTCATGACCAACCATCAAAGGAAAGACTAAATCCATTAAGGCAGTGGTCTATTTCCTCAGCCACAGTATTTCTAGGACCTAGAAGAATCTCTGGTGTATAGTAGGCACCCAATAAATACTTATCGAGTGAATGAACAAATGAGTATTTAAGGAGAGTGGGAGTTAATTGCTTTGGTATGTACATTTTAGTACCAAGGATTCCAGAGAGCTATAGAGAACTATTTTCAATAATTTCAACATCAGTTAGGCCAGACTAGCTGTAAACATTATCTGATTTCCTGAAGACAACAAACATCTCCCTAGCCTTTAACCTATTCAAACAGTTAGAAGTTACAGACTACCCTTTGCATTCCTACCCAGAACTTCCTTTTCTCTTAAGACAGGGGGTAGGGCATACACTTAACCACAAGAGGAGAAACTGCTACACGCTGGCAGTTGTTGCTGACAAAATAACTTAAAAGATTTTTACTTTTCCTTCTAGACTTCCATAGACATGATTTGTTTAACCTGAAACAAATGTCATGTGAGTTTTAAAGGGTAAGAAACAAAAGCAAAGATAAAAAGTATGCCAAGAGGTCTTGGAAAAGTTAAACAAGGAGTTTCCATACTACTCAGCATTCCTAAGTATATACGTACTACAAGAACTGAAAACATGTCCACGTAAAAACTTGCACATGAATATTCTTGGCAACCTTATTCATAATAGGCAAAAGGCAAAAATAACCCAACTGTCTATCAACTGATAAAGGGATAAATAAAATGTGGTTAGCCACACAATGAATATTCTTCAGCCGTAAAAAGCAACTGAAGTACTGATACATGCTCCCCAATGGATGAATCTTGAAAACATTATGCTAAGTCAAAGAAGTCAGTCACAAGAGGCTACATAGTGTATGATTCCATTTATACGAAATGTTCAGAATAAGCAAATCCACACAGAGACTGAAAGTAGTTTAGTGGTTGCCACGGGCTGGAGGAGTGACACCTAACGAGTATGGAATTTCTTTGTGGGGGTGATAAAAATATTCTGTAATTAGATAATGGTGATATATGCACATCATGTACTAAAAGCTGTTAACTTACACATGGTAAGGCACAAATGTTATGGTATGTGAATTACCTCCCTTAAAAAAAAAATCATTCCCCCAAAAAATAAAATCAGCAAGTAAAAAATATACATAAAGGGGAGCATCCCTTCCTCTCTGCTCTTCCCTTTTTTCCCCCATGCAAAATCTTTGACTAAAAAGCCATATATTTTATGTAGTAGTTATTCTGAAAATGACTGGGACCCTAAAAATATCCTAACCACCGAACAAAAGCAGCTGCTTATTTTGATAACATTTTTGTAACACAGACCTTCCTTAAAATGCAAGTTGACAGAGGGCTTATTCTACAAACCCAAACATACAATCCACTAGAATTAGCTCTGAGGAGAAACGCCGTTGTAACTGGCAGTGGCACAAGACAGATTCCAGTTCACAAAAGAGAGCTACAGTCTAATCAGAAGGTAATGTCATCAGAAACCAAACAGTGATGGATGTTCTTAGTGTTTTCTGTCTCAATCCCCAGAGAATGGGCCTTCGGACAAAACAAAACAAAAACCCTAAACTAACAAAAATACTAAACTACACTAAATGATTTGGAAAGAATGTCCTGTATTTAAATTGTTGGATATAAAATATAAAAGAAGAGAGGTTTGGAAGTTGAATACTAAACCATTCAGGATGGGACCATACAAAAACAATTTCTAATCCATTCAATATCACACCAGAAATTAATAAATACTATTCCTAGGTGCTAAGCTCACTCATTTACTAGTGTCAACTCGACTGCTTAATTGCTGACACAGTTAAACAATAGTTCTGTTTATATATATCTTAGCTGGCTGAAACATTAGTCATACAATAAGAGATATTTTCATCTCTTTGTAAACAATGTCCTAGATTTAGAACCTCTACTTCAAAATAGCTGGAGGAATAATGCAGATGCTCTCAAATGGTCATCAAGACAAACACACTGGAAGGCATTCACTAAATCAAGATAACCATAGAGTGTTTTTTTTTAAACATACATATTTTTATTGATTTCAGAGAGGAAGGGAGAAACATCAATGATGAGAGAGAATCATTGATTGGCTGCCTCCTGCATGCCCCCAGCTGGAGATCAAACCAGCAACCTGGACATGTGCCCAGATCCGGAATCAAACCATGACCTCCTGGCTCATACAGTCAAGCCTCAATCACTGAGCCAAACCAGCGGGGCCATATCCTAGGTTTTGCTCTTAAATTATGAATGTTGCCTTGCCTACACCAGCTCTACAAGGATTTTAAAATATATAAAACCTAAAGCATATTGAGTATCTTAAATGGTGAGACCAAGCAAAGGCACTATTCTGCCAATTTTCAGATTCTATGCAGCATGGGAGGTACTAGGATGACAATTTAGATTAATTATCAATGTGATGAAATCCCACTAATTCAAATGGTGAATGAGCCGAAACCGGTTTGGCTCAGTGGATAAAACATCAGCCCGCAGACTGAAAGGTCCCGGGTTCGATTCCGATCAAGGGCATGTACCTTGGTTGCGGGCACATCCTCAGTAGGGAGTGTGCAAGAGCCCAGTAGGGGGTGTGCAAGAGGCAGTTGATCCATGATTCTCTCTCATCAATGTTTCTAACTCTCTTTCCCTCTCTCTTCCTCTCTGTAAAAAATCAATAAAATATATTTAAAACACACACACACACACACACACAAAATGGTGAATGAATTCCCACTCACTCAAATGATTCCAGTCACTCAAAAAGCATTTTATTAAGCACCTATGTTAACAGTAGTTTGAGAATTATCTGTCCTACCACACACTGGGGGTAAGTTACATTTTTTTTTTTTTCTGCATGAGTTCCAAGGTGTGGGAAAACCATGTGGCTTTCCTCTATCTCTGATAACCATGTCCACAGGGAACAGATAACGGCTGTCACTTGGAAGTATATTTACTTAGCTTCTCCTTTCAGTACGCCTCTCTTTAAATCTGTTTTTCCATTCCCCCTGGCCTACACCTTTGTACTCCATCCCTCAAGCATTTCATTTTCCTTCTCTTGACGTTTCAAAACAGCGTCTTCACTTTAAATTCTAACCCATCTAGGATGGGGTTATACGATAATCTGTTTTCTAAAATGCATTAAAAAAAAAAAATGCGCCGAAACCGGTTTGGCTCAGTGGTAGAGCGTCAATCTGCGGACTGAGGGGTCCCAGGTTCGATTCCCGTCAAGGGCATGTACCTTGGTTGCGGGCACATCCCCGGTGGGGGGTGTGCAGGAGGCAGCTGGTTGATGTTTCTCTCTCATCGATGTTTCTAGCTCTCTATTCCTCTCCCTTCCTCTCTGTGGAAAATCAATAAAATATATTTTAAAAAATTAAATGCATTCAAGATCACATGAGATATTAAGTAGTATGTTGGGCATCGACCCCATTCATTTCAGTGTTAACTCTTCTGCTTCCCCATCTCTTCCGCGTCTCTCTCTGACCCTCCCTCCCCAACACCCATCTTGCCCCCCACCTTTAACTCTCCCAAAGCCAGCACCCACGTTTTTCTCAGGCTCGCACCCCCCCGCAGGTTTCCCAGAGAATCCCCCGACCCCAGCTCTCCTGAACCCTCACTACCCTGTGGCGTCCCAGGGTTTTCTCTGGTCCCTCCTTCTCCCTCACCTCGGACCCCACCCCTAACCCCATAGCCTAATCCCATAGCCTAACGCAGTTTAGGGAACGTCCCCTCACTCTCTCCCCGGATTCCCCCCAACTTGTCTCTTCCCCTTAAGAGTCCCTCCCCAGCACCCACCGCACCCATTCCCAGAGCCTGCCAGGAGGTCTCCCTGCACCTTCACAGCCTCCTGCCTTCTCCCCTCAGAGTTCGGAGACCCCGCCGCCCCTCGGAGCCCTCCCGGCCCTGCCCACTCCCCCGGCACCGCGCGGGCTCCCGGGCCCGGCCCCTCCGGCGCGGCCCTCCGACCTGCCTCCGCGCCGCCCGCAGCCCCTGCAGCCTCTGGCCCAGCTCCCGCCGGTAGCTCTGCGCCGCCTCCACGTTCTCGCGGGCCTCCTGCAGCAGGAGCTCGGGCTCCAGCTCCATCGCCGCCTCCCTCGTCCGGCCGCTCCGCCGCCGGCGGCTCCGGGCGCGGTTCCCGACTGTCCCGAGCGCCGCTGAGCGGCCCGGCGTGGCCCCGCGCAGGCGGAAGCGCCGCCCCGCCCCGCCCCCCGCGGCTTTGATGGACAGGCGCGCGCGTGGGCGGGGCGCGGGGCGGGCGTCCAGCTCCCCGCGCTCCCGCCACTCGGGCAGCGCGGTGCCTGCTCCGCGTTCGCGTGGAGGCAGGGGAAGGATGACAGCACCTTTCCCGCCTCTTATTCTTTTTTAAAAAATATATATATTTTATCGATTTTTTTTAGAGGCAGGGAGAGGGATAGAGAGTTAGAAATATCGATGAGAGAGAAATATCAATCAGCTGCACACCCCCTACTGGGGTTGTGCCCACAACCAAGGTACATGCCCTTGACCTGGAATCGAACCCGGGAGCCTTCAGTCCGCAGGCCTACGCTATATCCACTGAGCCAAATCTTTCTGCCAGCCTCTTATTTCATCCCGGCCTCCTGGTAGCCGTTTCTCAAAGGAGGAAGCTGAAGGGCCTGGAGGGCCATCTACGGTGTGTGGAGCGAGGGGATTTGAACCACTCGGCTCCGAAATCCTCCTGGTCCCACCTCCCCACCCCGCGAGGATCCCAGCCGCGGCAGGGAGTGTAGGAGGTGACCCTGCACCAGGCCCCACGCCCAGAGGACCGTCCACCACTGGTCTAATGAGGGAGCCCAGACAGGCCTTCACCTTTGGCCAGCGGTGGGTACAGCTGTCCAGGTACGAGTCCAAAACAGGTGTCTGCACACTTTTCTTGCAAGGGCCAGCTGGGGCCCATCAAGTCTCTGGGGCAGATCGTCAGCACATGGGCGTGGCCGTGTGCAAATATGATGGACACAAGTTTGAATCTCACTTTATGGCCACTGGTTACAAAATAGTCCTTGCAAATTTCATCAGCTATTTGGCAAACGTAAAAAAACTTATTCTTCAGCTGGGGCCCTGGGGCTTGGTTGGTGAAAGCATGGTTGCGATACCCTGAGGTTGTGGGTTTGATCCCTGGTCAGACTCTCTCTTTTTTCTCTTTCTCTCTCTCAAATCAATTTTTAAAAATTAAAACAACAACACACAAACCATATCTCATTCAAGGTGCCATACAAAACCAGGAGGTATGTAAGATTTGGCTTCCAGCCACCGTTTACCCAGTCTGGCCAAGGATGTTAGAGCCGAAAGTTCCCTCAGCCAGGGAACTCAGACAGGGCGTAATTTAATCAAGATTACACGTGGAATGGGGACTAGAGGCTAAATCTCAGTTTTCCTGGGCCAACTAGAAAAGATTAGTAAAGAGAAGCCCTTCTGTAGAAAATGAAAAATGAGCTCTATCATGAAGATAAGGTAGCCAGGCACTTAGTTAATACTGTATTAGCCAATGAACCCCCTTTATTATTTAAGGCAGCCTGAGGTGAATTTTCTGTAACTTGCAACTGAAGAAATCCTAAAGGATACAAGATAAACCCCGGCCGACAGGAAACTTAGTGAGATGCAGGGTGCAATTGAGCTATGTAAAAGATGTCAATGTATACTAAAGAGATTTAGTAACATTATGAGTGGAAAGGCCATTGACATAAAATCAGGAAAGACTGCCACAAACAAAATACATGAACATTTCCATATTCTCAGCCCTGGCCCTTATACTACTAATCCAGCAATGAAGGGGGATTTTGTCTTCACCTCCTCACCTGCAATTGTCTTCAACCTGGCTCCCAAGTTTCAGTGGTACAGAATTGAGAGAAATGACTGAAGAGGCAGATGGGAAAGGGGAAGATGGGTACCTGGAGGTATGTACTGAGTAAGAAATGGAGGGAAAAACTTTAGGGCACTAATGGGAGATAAGGAAAGGAGACTGGGGAAGAAGATATTAAAGAGTTTCTTTGACTTATGAATTGGGAACTATCAGGAGGAATGACAATACAATGCAACATGTGATTGTGGACTAGATCCATTTGCTATAAAGGGAATCACTGAACTTGATTAAACTTGAATTAAACTGAGGATTTGATTATAATAAAGTATCAATGATAAATCCTGTTTTTGATGATTACTTTGTGGATTCATAGAATGTACTTGTAGAATGTTGGAATTTACTCTCAAATGGCTTATTCAGGGAAGAAAATTGCACTCTATTTGCAACTTGTCTGTAAGTTTAAGATTTATATAAATTTGAGTTTTCAAAATATAAAAATATATAGCATTGATAAAAATAAGAGGCATATTTAGATTAGGATTATCTCTTAATTATTTTTTATTGATGGATAGTATTTCTTTGTATGAATTGCTATTCAATAACTAGATCCTGCCCCTCCAGCATGGTTCAGTGGTTGAGTATCAACCTATGAACCAGGAGGTCACGGTTCGAGGTTCAATTCCTGGTCAGGGCACATGCTCCTGTTGCAGGGCTCAGTCCCTGGTGTGGGGCATGGGGCATGCAAGAGGCAGCCAATCCATGATTCTCTCTCATCATTGATGTTTCTCTCTCTCTCCCTCTCTGAAATCAATAATATATATGTATATATACATTTGTAATATCTATACAAGGACATTATAAAAAAAAAAAAAAGAATGTGGTAATAGTATTAGGTGTATAAACAGGTAAGTCAGAGAGTAAGAAGTCATCACTATATGTCCAATACAGTTAGGAGCTTTCTGAGAAGTTGGGGAGAAGAGAGAGAAAGCCTTAGCTGACCAGATAGCCAAAGTATCCTAGACTAAATCCATTGTTTACCAAATGACTATCTGCTTACAACTTGATATTCCATTTGCTGCAGTTTTCTCGCCAATTATATCTGATCATAAATAAATAAATTAGCACCGAAACCGGTTTGGCTCAGTGGATAGAGCGTCGGCCTGCGGATAGAAGGGTCCTGGGTTCAATTCCGGTCCGGGGCATGTACCTTGGTTGCGGGCACATCCCCAATGGGGGGTGCAGGAGGCGGTTGGTTGATGTTTCTCTCTCATCAATGTTTCTAACTCTCTATCCCTCTCAATTTCTCTCTATGTAAAGTCAATAAAATATATTTTAAAATAAATAAATAAATAAATAAATAAATAAATAAATAAATAAATTAGCAACTTGCTTTGTTTGTTTCTTGTCTTTTTAGAATAAAACGTCTGTGCCCCTGGATCTGCTCACTTCTGTGTACACTTAAAAAGTTAATTCTAGACCAATTTGATGGCACAAAGATTAAAAAACAAAACAGACGTAAAAATCCCAACGCTGTAAAACCCTGTCTGATGGCCTGCTGGCTTCTATCATTGCCACCTCCACATCAGTCTTCCTGGGCTCAGTCTTCCTCTGTGTTATCAACCAGACTGTTTACTCTTTAGGAACTTGTGCTCTGAAAAGCATGTTTCCAAAATTTTAAGCCTGGGAGAGTGATTTCACAAGATTTCCTTTAGTTTCCCTTGTTTGTTTTTTTTGTTTGTTTGTTTGTTTGTTCTTTTTTTTCTTATTGATTTTTTTTTACAGAGAGGAAGAGAGAGAAGGATAATCAGAAACATCAATGAGAGAGAAACATCAATCATCTGCCTCTTGCACACCCCCCCACTGGATACGTGCCCACAACTAAGGTACATGCCCTTGACTGGAATTGAACCTGGGACCCCTCAGTCCGCAGGCCAATGCTCTATCCACTGAGCCAAAACCGGTTTCGACGTGGTTTTTTTTTTTAATTAATTTTTTTTTAAAAATTGCATGTAGTAATAAAAAAATAAAATAAAATAATTTTTTCTTGTAGTAAAGCCCTCCAGGGTAGAATCAATTCTATACAATTAGCTTTAGGGATTTCACATAACATTGCTATGTTCAAGAATATTTAATAAATCCTGTTTTTACTGACTCAGTCTGTGCCTTAAACCTTCTATTCCCTTGAATTATTTTCCTATCTTCTTCCCCACTTTCAGTTTCAGACCTCTGTAAAGGCCAACACCCTAATTCAAGCCTCTCTCATATTATACCTGGACTAATGCCATATGATTTTTTTCTTATTTTCCCACTTCAGCTGTCCTATATGTATATTCATTTCCCTAAACAAATACTCAAGAGTGTACTGTATGCCAACCCCTACTTTATCTTAAGACAGACCCAAGACCCACGTCTCTATCATTTATCTTCCTAAAACATGTTTTGCAAATGTCACTGTACTTGCAAAAATCTTTGATGTCTATTCTTTAAAGCCAAAACTTTTAACCTGAACTCCAGGGCCCTTACTCTTTTTTTTTTTTTTTTTTTTTTTTAATATATTTTATTGATTTTTTACAGAGAGGAAGGGAGAGAGTTAGAGACCTAGAAAGGTTGACGAGAGAGAAACATTGACCAGCTGCCTCTTGCACACCCCCAACCGGGGATGTGCCAGCAACCAATGTACATGCCCTTGACTGGAATCGAACCTGGGACCTTTCAGTCCGCGGACCGACGCTCTACCACTGAGCCAAACCAGCTTTGGCGAGGGCCCTTACTCTTTACTTCATCTCCCTTCTTCTTCTTTGTTTTCATTCTTAAAAATAACTTAATTTTTAAAATACTTATTTTTCAGTTACAGTTGGCATACAATGTATTAGTTTTTAAGTTTACAACATAGTAACTAGACATGTTTAAAACACACCTGGATAAATCTAGTACTCATCCCACATCATACATAGTTATTATAATATTATTGACTACATCCCCTATGCTTTACTTCACATCTCCATGCTTCTTTCTTTCTTAAACCGTTCATTTATATTCCTATCTCCAAGACATTATGCCCTTCCCCACTTAGTTTTGTCCCACCTGGGATGCCTTACCTCACAGCTTCTGTTTAGTTAGTAATACCTTAATTCATGGAACAGATATTCTTGAGTACAATAGTGTCCCCTTATCCAAAGGAAGTATATCCTAAGACTCCCAGTGGATATCTGAATCCACAGGTAATACCGAACCCTATTCAGGGTGAGGCCAAAGTAGGTTTACAGTTGTGGATATGCAAAAGTTTATTACTGTATTATTATTTATGAATTATTGCATTATATTCCACATGAACAACTGCAAACCGACTTTTATCCCACCTTGTATTTAGTATG